GTGCGGCCGTCCGCGAGTGTAACTTGCGTAGGTTGCGTCTTTCTTCGAACGCGCGGGCCAAGACCTGCGCGGGCCATAAAGGCTTGACTCATGTAGTTGCGAGACGCTCCGCAATCAATCAAGGCACTACAGGTTGCCTTTCCGATTTGAATGCGGATATAGAGCAAAGGTGCGTCGGTTTCGGCGTACCTTTGGGTGGCGTACTCGCGGTCAATCTTCGCAAGATAGGAGCGGAGATCGACAACCGCTACCCCGTCGTCCGTCAACGGAGCTGGTACTGTAGTGTGCAAATAGGAGCGTAGAGTTGCCATCCAGGCGTTGCAATGCGGCCTTGGCAAGGTTCCGGTCGAGGGTAGAGGCATCCAGGCGAAGTCCTCTCTCGTGAGCGGGTCAAGCTTCTCAAGTCTTGACCACGCCGTCGAGTCCTCGGAAATCAGTGGCGAACTGACCGCATCACTTGCCGACGGTGTACAGGTTGCGCATACGCTAGTTAAGTGCACGTGGCTTGGCTGGTCTAATGGTGGTACCAGCTAGGCGGCATAATCCTCGTACGTAGCACGAGGATCAGCGACTAACGCATGCTCCCCGGTAGTGACATCGATTGCTAGAAAGGCAACCGGGTCCGGCGGAGTGAGGAGAGACGTCGCCCCTCTCCTTGCGTAACTCAGTTTCCCGAGTTGGCTGGACGGGGTACGCGTGCCTTGCCCTTGTCCGGGCATTGTGCGGTAGTGTGTACTACACTGTTGCACCATAGGCAGTATGCGTACTTTTGACGAAGGTCATAGACCTCCTTGGTGATCTTATAAGTCGTCCATGGCTGCTGCCCAGCTCCCGTCGCCACTCTCTTGTGTCGCCTTGTTCTTGCGAACTCTCTTCGGACACTTCGGCGGGAGCGCTGCGACCATTCCTCCATCACTCGAGGATGCTGCCGCAGCGTGGTGGTCGTCGATTTCCTCAGAAAACACGGCATTGTTATGTGTCGGACGTTGATAGGCCTGTTTAGCCACATAATGCGGCTGGGATTGCCTCTCGTTAGCGGCCTTGTCGTCCGTTTGGATGACTAAGTTCGTTCTATCCAGAATGGCCTGGAACGTAGTATAGTCGTACTCRTTGCCGAGTRCCGACCGCAATCCTGCGCACGATCTCGAGAAGAACTCGGATCGTTGATTAGGGAACGTCAAGTCGAAGCCTGGCGTGGTCACTATCTTCTGCCATTTTGATGCCCACTCTCGCGTTGGCATGTTCCCTTGAGAGCATGAGTAGACCTCGTTCATGGCCATCTTCACGACGTTGCGGACCATGAATCTGGTGAACCATAGCTGCTCGAACTCCTTCCACGTAATGTGCGTGTGGAGTTCGGCGATAGTGCACTGGTGTGTAGCCGCTAGGTGGTTCATCCATCCCTGCGCTCCTCCAATCAGCTGCAGATATAGTGCCTTCAACATGTCGTCCGCCGGGACCATGCGGCATGATGCTTCCATGAGGAAGCCTTGCCACCATGACAAGGCGTCCGACTTGTTGTAATTGTCGAACTTGCTGATGTCGAAGTGCGGCATCTTGAACGTCTTTGTAGCGGCTTCCGGTCTCGTCTGTAGCTTGGTGATGTCCATCTTGATGGCGGCCACCGTGCTGCTGATCGAGCCTGGTCCGTTGAAAGTACTTATGTCGCCGATGATGGTGACGACGTGATCGATCCGCTCATTGAGTTGCTTCGTCACGTCTGCCGTGCTGCCTGGCGCTGCTGAGGCGTTAGCCTCTATGCTGTTGACGCGTGTGATAGTGGATTTCAACAGATGATGCTGTTGCTGCTGCTGCGTTGCCTCTGTGCGGATAGCAGTTGTTAACGCAGTCATATCGTTCTTGTATGTTTGTCGCTGCGTCGGGTCCGTGCGCAGATGTGAATGCAGCAGTGTATTATTCCACATAATACCTCTCATCATGCCCAGCAGCAAGTTAGCCAGGTTACTTCTCTCTGCCTCCGCCGGTGTCGGGTCTGCCTCCGCCGGTGTCGGGTCTGCCTGCGCTTCCGTAGGCACAAAGATCATGCCTTGGAGTATCGTCGTCCCCTGATGCTCACAAGCAATCAAGGACTCCGTGCTGCTGGCATTCCGTCTGTCTCGTGTCTCTGCGTCAGTCTCAGTCGTTCGCTGAGCTTCGGCTGCCGCTTCATTGGCTAGCCGCTGACGTTCTGCCTCTGCTGTCTCCTTCCGGGCCTCGACGGCAGCTACGGCTTCCGTAAATGCCAGTAGCCGCCCACGATAATCAGCCGCTGGCTCATTGGCTCCTCGGACTGGGTATGCGGGATGATCTCCGGTGGCGTCTTGTACCGTCAATGCCGTACTTGATGCTGCTGGAGTCCTCCGCCTGCTGAGTTTCTTCGGTCTTGGAGGTACTGCAGGGCGGGCACGAAYTGCGATTCTGGCACTGCGTCGTGGCAGTGCCCCGGTGTCCTGTTCCGTCGACATCAGTCTGAACCGATGCGGTACTTGAGAAGTCCCGGTAATCACAGAACACGGGGGGTAGGGAGAGTGGAAACAGGGGTAGAACAATAAAGCAATACACCTACAATCCCCTGTCCCACTTGTTGGACTATAGACCCCTAATCAAAACCCGAAAATAAATTCCCRGAACCAATTCAGAAAATTCGTAATAAAATAATTAACGATTAAATCAATAAATTTAATTAATGAAAAAATACGAGATAATTTATCAATGAAATCATAAAACGAATTTGAATGGTAATATGACTAGGTCTCTTTCGAGATTACTATGAGACCGGGAGTTCTCCGTTTAATAAGTGAACTGCGCGGTAGTTGCAATTGAAGGGTCATATACAGCTTAGTTTGCAGAACAAATTTCGGAAATTTTGGTAGAGAAAAAAACGCTCGAATTTTCAAAACGTGAAATTCCGGGAATTCCCACCGTCAAAATCTGATTTTTAAACGCTAAATCCGTCTTTCGGAATTTCTCCAAGAAGATGAACGAAAAAGATTTCCGCAAAAATTTCGGCCCCAACCCTAATTTTCGGCGTTTCCGCGAAATTTCCGGAATTACAGTTTCAAAACGTTCGGAATTTACCACCTTCTTAAAAAAAAACCGAAATTTTTCGTAACCCTCATTCCAATAACGAAATATTACGGAACTGCCGTTTTTAGGAAAACAAAATATCAGATTTCACAGAATGCTGAATTAAAACGGAAAACCGAAATGGAAATCAGAATGCCGAATTAACAGACTACTGCTTCCCTTAATTTCGTTTTAAAAACAGAAATCCGATTTTACACATCTCGGATGGAATTTCTCGGAACCTGATTTACATGGCATACCGATTTGAAACAGAATCCGAAAGAGTAATCCAGAATGCTGAATCAAAAGCGGTAATGCCTAATTACAGAATACCGAGAAAGAAGAAAAATTTGCAACTTGAATCACGATGATACTTCAGCGCCGATTTAGAAGATCAAACATAATACTAATTCTAAACGGACTTACCTGGTGAGCAGATCCGTTTTGGTCTGCTCCGATACCAAAACTGTTACATACTTCAACGAGTATGGGCAGAACCAAAGATCAACCAATATAGGATGAGCATTTATGCAGCGGAAGTCTGATAACGAACTGACTCACATAGACCGACTCACACCAACTGACTTACATGGCATCACTCCACACACATACAATCATGAGATGGTGGGGTCTGGGTCATTCATAAACGATACCCAGATCCCGTACACACATACACAGATGAAAGGTGGGAGGAGAGACAAAGGAGGTGGGAGGTAGATCACACCGATAGGTCACAAAGATAAAGTCTGATAGGCCTCCGAAATGATAGTCCAGAATGTCATATAACAAGATCAAAATGTCGAGGACCAAAGGTCACCAATGTCGGAGATAACAGAGTCCAGATGTAACCGGTGTCCAACTGTGATGAAGCCGAGTATCAACCTCAACAATCTCCAAGTCTCCAATCAGGTAAGTACCACAGTCTCGTATCACCGAAATCCAACTCTGATCTCTGTCCAACTGGATAGTCTCCAATCAGGTAAGTACCACAGTCTCGTATCACCGAAATCCAACTCTGATCTCTGTCCAACTGGATAGTCTCCAATCTGAAGAAGAAGAAGAAGAAGAAGAAGGAGGAGGAAGAGGACAGAGAGAGAGGGGACTGTCGAGGGAGAGGAGGAGAGACCCTCCAAGCTCCCAATACCTCAGGCGGTAATAACCGCCGTGCAAGCTCAGTCGCCCGCTGCTGCTCCGCTCGCTGCTGCGCTATGCTGCGCTCCTGCTTCAGCCCCTGCGCTAAGTTTAGCGCATCAAACAGTGCACTAGCACTGACCATGCCGTGCCGGTAGAGTTCCGGTAGGCCGATCCCACTACTGAAGCGGATATCGGTACTTATATCGGTGGGCAATGGTCTGGCCTCAATGCTGCGAGGCCAGGCCAGACCCTGAACCGTCCAGATGGACGGTTCAGCCTCAATCGGCGGGCAGCAGCTTCAAGAGCGCCGCCAAGCCCAAACGAAGTGTCGTTTGGGCCTACCCGATGGGTGATAGTCCAAAATCAGGCCTTTAGGGCCTGTAAACCCCAAAGGTCGGGCCTTTAGGGCCTGTAAACCCCAAAGGTCGGGCCTTTAGGCCCTGGTGTGTCCCTCCGGCCCTAAGTCGGGTCCGGTAGGACCCGTGTGAGTCGAAGATGTAACATCTACCCTGTACAAAATTTGTAGAGTGTGTATAGCTGTCAGGCTGTCAAAAACGTTGAAACAGCATCATCACTCCACTTACTCTACAAAGCCGCACTCTGCAACTCTCGAGAGCACAAAAAGACAGCTGAAAGCCCCATTTGTCCGTCCAGACTCCAGGTTCCTTCTCCACATTCCGGCCCTTGGCGTAGACCTACAAGGACTCTACAAGAAACGCCAGTTGCAGGCTGGGGACTCTACAACTGTGTAGAGTCCTCCTTCCCATTTTCTGACAGCTATGCAAAGTAATTTCTCGAGCAGATTTGTAGAGTTAGTGAGCGCAATAACCCGTGGCTACAGATTGTACGGTGTATGGAAGCATAGCAAGGCCCATTCATTACCTAGTCGGAAAGTTGTGTGATGCACGACATCTTCCACAATTTGGTGGGCACTTGATAAACGGGCGGGCGAACAGGCATCCGTTGCAGTGGAACTTTTGACACAATTCTTCAAAGTGGCTGTTCTATTTGTTCGGGCAGTTCTTTCAACTTGACAAGAGCCAAAGATTAAACTAGCTGTTAAACGACAGTGTGTCAAACAAGGAATTCGCTCAACAAGAGCTCAGCTAAGAAAACCATAAACTGCTCCCGAATCAAACGGATGAGAAGTACTGAAGAAGTCAAAATCCGAAACGGCTTCTAAGCAGCAAGTATTAGAACAACAGCACATCAGCAGCAGTAGCATATGCATTACCTGGTAGCATTCAACTGCCTTGTCCAAGTTATCCCTGTCCTTGTATATTACGCCCAGGTTGTTGCATGCCTCTGCACACTGCGGGTTGAAGTGAAGAGCCAGCTCGTACATGACAACAGCCTACAAATGAAAAGACAGAAAACGTACAGCAAAATCAACAAAGGTAGATGATGCCAGATACATATGTAGCGACAACAGCCTACATTAAAAACAGAAAACGTACAGCAACATCTATAAAGGTGTATGATGCCAGGTAAATAGGAAGTGGATTTCCCCACCACTGATCTGGGTCATGCAACAGCGCAGAACCCACATGCTGTCAGTCATCAAAATTCCAAAGCCAGGCGGGCATCTGAACTGTCAGGGTGCATCCAACACGGGGAAGGTCCACCAGCCCTACAGATCTGTTTACCAGCCCTCCACAACATTTCAGGCCCCACCCAAAATATTCCACAGGCCGTGAGAGAGAGAGGAGAAAGAGGATAGAGACGAGAGAGGAGAGAGGAGAGAGGAGAGAGGAAGACACAGAGTGGTTACCACGGAATAGAGGAAAGAGGCCAGCAAGAGAGAGGAGAGAGAGGAAGGAAGACAAAGAGAGCAGCGGATACAAGACAGAGGCACATGCAAGAGAGATGGTCACGTGCTAGAGAGACGGAGGCATGTACGAGAGTCACATGCACATCCAAGAGAGTGAGGGAAGCACAAGAGTGAGAGACATGGGAACAGACAGAGAGCTACGGCTATTCACCCTCCCGATTTGGGCACACACCACCTGATGAAGGTACCACCAGCGATGTCAAAAAACTTTGGCCAACCCGCCCCAAAAAAAAATGAAAGGGCCTGTACACCATCGTTGTAGCCCTCATTTTTTTGCTGCAGCCCTCATCTGCAGCCAGCCTAAACAAAATTGGGTGGGGCCAGATGAGGGAGAACAGCACACATTAGTTAGGGGACGAGGTGAGAGAGGGAAATATGTGTAAGAGAGGGAATGAGCGCACACGAGAGAGAGAGGCACAAGAAAGAGGCACGCACAAAAGAATCTCAAATGCGAGAAAGAAGAGAGACGAGGGAGGAAAAGGAGAGAATGAGAGGTGCATGCACCAGAGGGAGGCACAAGAGGCAAGAGAGAGTGGCACATCGGAGAGAGGGACATGTAAGAGTGTGTGAGAGGCTCGCAAGAGAGAGAATCGGAGAGAGAGACATATACAACACAGAGGCACACAGAAGAAAGGGACACAAGAGAGCCACAGGTTTTGGAGAGACGAGGCAACCACGAGGGCCGCGAGGGGGCCACAAGACGGGCAGCAATCGAGGATGTGCCCATGCACAAGACAGAGAGAGAGAGAGTACCTTCCCACACACATGCAAGGGAATCTTCAAATGCACAAAGGCATGTATGAGTGTGTGAGAGGTTCGCAAGAGAGAGACAGGCACATCGGAGAGAGAGACACATGCAAGACGGACAGGCACACAAAAGAAAGGGACACACCAGATGGCCACACCCCAGAGAGCCACAGGTTTTGGAGAGACGATGCAACCAAGAGGGCCGTGAGGGGGCGACAAGACAGGGGAGCAACCGAGGATCAGCCTGTGCACAAGACAGAGAGAGGGCAGGGGAGGAGAGGTATACTACCTTT